GCCGCCCCCAGCCATGCCGTCGTCGCCGCTGCGGGTGGCCGTGGTATGCTCCAGCAACCAGAACCGAAGTATGGAGGCGCACAACATCCTCAGGTATATGGGTGTCCTCCTTGGCCCGTTCCTCCCTCTCACTCCTTCTCTCCTGTCTCGGCCTGATTCTGGTCCCGGTCCGTCGGCCCTGCGGCGACCGGGCGCGCGGGTCTCGCACGTGGGCTGGTTCCACCAGAATGCCGGGTCCGAGCAGATGGGCTTCCAGGTCAGCAAGTAGGCTTCCGATAGGCCGGGGCGACTCGCAGCCCTTTGCGTGCGTACTTGTTCCAGCCTGTGGACCTGCGAGTAATTGGCAGGGAGGTGCGGTGGGTGTTAGGAGCAGGTTGGTGATTTTCAGTGTGTATCGTTTGTCATATTTACCGGAAAGCTATCAGGATAAACCCCCAGGGTAAAACGAGTCTTGAAACGGGAGACATAGCCTGTTTTTAAAAACAATTCGAATTTGTGCGTCAGCTGTCTACCTTTTCAAGTCTCATGCAAGATATTTTCTCACCTCCCTTGAAAATCTTTAATAGGCAATTCTTTACGTGTGGATCCAGTTTGGCTTTGCTATTATGTTTCGGTAGTAATTACCGTTTGCGACCTTCGTGTTTTTAACACGTTTTAATTTTGTGCTTCATTAAAGTTTATTCTCATGTGGTAGTTTATTTTTTTGGTTAAAATTACTTCACAAAATGCGAAATTGGCCCTTTGTATTAGGGGTTAGTGTACGTGTCAACTTGGATAATAAAGCAAAGTTGAAATGGCTTTTTCTCCTGAAGTTGCTATGCCTAAACTTTACAGGAAAACAGTGCTTCCTTTCTTTTGACACAGCCATCTTTCATTCTGCTGAGTAACCGGAACATTATCAATAAAAGGCCCCCCCCCCCTTTTTTTGGGAGAGATTTTCGCAATAGGGTGCGTGCGCTCGCCAGACAGGCAGAGACATAGAGACAGAAAGCGAGAAATCACCCCCCAGGGGGGATGGGCACGCAGCAATCCCTTCTCCTCCATTCTCCTCTCAGGATCCTGGGCACACACACACATGCCCTCGGCGTTAATTTTAAGCCACCGGGTCCAGGACGTGAATCGCGGTCGACTTCGTGGGAGTCCAGCGACATAGCCATTACGCTATCTGCTGGTGTTTCCCCCCCCATTTTTTAAATGAAACTGGGAGGCGTCCAAGATCTGCTAAACCTGAGCAAAATCTACCATACTGGTGTAATAGCTATGTTGCTGGACTCCCATGTAGTCCACCATGGTTCGAGTCCTGTACCTGGTGGCTGCATGCCCAAGATCCCAACAGGCTGGGATTGCCCTGTGGCCAATCCCCCCTGGAGGGGTGATTTCCTGCGTTCTGTCTCTCTCTGTCTTTCTGGCAAACGTAGGCGCCCTATAGCAAAAACCTCCCCCCCAAAAAAAAAAATCTGTATTGTCCATAACGTTGGCTTAGTATCTTTTTTTGTTGTTGTTGTTGGTAGATTGGGCCATTCTTTAGACCTAATAAATCAATATGAAGGGTTTTTTTTTTTTTTTTTAGGTTTTTGCCATAGGGTGTGTTTGCCAGAGAGATGAGAGGAAAAGTGAAAAGTCACTCAGTTGGCAGCTTGAGTCCTGGACCTGGCAGCTTGGAAAAACACGTATGGCACATGTATCTGTGTACCAGAATCCCAAAAGAAGAATGGAGTCTTTCTCTGTGTGTCTCTCCAATAATTGCATTTGCTCTAAGGCAAAAATCTTTCCAAAAAAAAGAGAAATCACCTTGCAGGGGTACAGCCACTCTGTAGTCCCTTTTCCACTCATCTCTTGGGATTTGGGGCACACGTACACACGTACCCTGCATGATTTTTCAAGCCACTGAGTCCAGGTCTAACCACCCTTGGCCATGTGGGATTCAGCACAGTAACCAATACATCACTTGCAGACATCACCTCCCTGCCACTGTTTTAAAATTTTTACCCTAAGGGTCAGCAGGTGGCATAGTGGTTATGGTGCTGGACTCCCACATGGCTGACTGCAGTTTGAATCCCCGACCTGGCAGGTTGAAAATCATATCAGGCATGTATACATGCGTGGCCATCCCTCCTGGGGGGTGATTTCTCACTTTCCCTCTCACTGTCTCAATCTCTCTCTCTTTGCCTGTCTATCTCTCTCTGGCAAGGACATGTGCCCTACAGCAAAACTTCAAAATTAAAATCAACTTGGACTGTATATTTTCCTAACAAGTCAGAGTCATGTGGTAACCTATGTGGGCATTTTTGGCATTTCTAGAGGTAATTATAATACTCCTGAGGTTCTTTATTTTACTTTGTTTTAATTTTTTTTTAGAATTATTTTATTTAACTTTATTTAAATTTGACCAGACAAGGACAGAGCAACAGCGAGAGTGAGAGAGAGAGAGAAAGTGAGAAAGCAAGCTGCCAGATCCGGGACTCAAAACTGTGTTCGGTCATGTGGGAGTCCAGCACCGTTAATCACCATGCTTCCTGCCAGCCCTAAGGTTTCTTTTTAAAAAAATAAATAAATAAAAAAACTTTTTCCCAGAGGGTACATAATTCTTTCAGAGAGAGAGAGAGGGTTGAGGGAGAAGGTCCACAGAGGAATGGTTATGCTGCAATTACTTCTCTTCCATTTTTCCATCGTAATGGGATATTAGTCACTCATGCACATGAAGTGGGTATTTTTCTTATGCCACCAGGGCCAGGACTTGAACCATTGGGTCAGCCATGTGGGATCTGGCTGCCTTAATCACAGGGCCACAGAGGTCCACACTCCTCTCAACTTTTTTAGGTTTATTCCGTAAGCAAGAAAGGTGGAGGGGAAGAAACACAGCATACTGACAGGTTCTTGATGGGACAATCCAACCCCAGCCTCAGCCAGCCTGGATCATGGACACATGCATTCATCACATCAGGGAAGTCTCTGGCTGTGAATTGGCAACATTCCCATGTGGATTTGCCTCCTAGAGTGCTGTATTTCACCCCTGTACCTCTTGTCTTTCAGTTTTTTATGTGTTTGCTATAGGGCGTGTGCAGGCACCAGAGAAAGAGGAAAAGTTAGAAGTAATCCTTCAGGGGAGCTGGTGGTGCCACAGTCCCTCTTCCTCCAGTCTCTTGGAACTTTGGGCTCACATGCATCCAATATGATTCTCTAACCACCCAATACAGGATTTGAACTGTGTAGCTGGCCAGGTGGGATCGTACACTTGAACCTCCATGCCACCTGCTAGCCTCTGCTGTCCAATGTCTTTTGTTGTTTTTAAGGTTTTTGCCATAGAGTACATGAGCTCACTAGAGAGACAGGGAAAGTGAGAAATCATCCCCCAGAAGGGTGACCATGCTGCTGTCCTCCTTCTTCTGGGTTTTTGGGCGTACACACACGCCTGCCAGCATGAGTTTCAAGCAAGTGGTCCTGGGACTTGAACCACAGTCAGCCACGTTGAAGTCCAGCACCTTTAACCACATACTCTGTGCTGGTCTTGCTCCTGGTTATTTATTTATTTTTTTTTTTGGAGAGGTTTTTCACTGTAGGGCGCGTGCGCTTGCCAGACAGAGACAGACATAGAGACAGAAAGTGAGAAATCTCCCCCCAGGGGGGATGGTCACATCTCAATCCCTTCTCCTCCATTCTCCTCTGGGGATCTTGGGCACGCACGCACAAGCCCCCGGCGTGAGTTTTAAGCCACCGGGTCCAGGACGCGAACCACGGTCGACTACGTGGGAGTCCAGCGACATAGCCATTATGCTAACTGCTGGTTCCTGTTCCTGGTTATTTTTTGAAATTTGAGACTAAAGTGTTTCAGGTATCAATTCTGGAGACCTTTATGTTTCTGGGAAGTGCCAGGCAATCTTTGTTGTACATTTTTGTAGTTTCTTGTTCTTTGTACTTTATAGATGAAGGTTTCTAACGGAACCACTTATTATCATTTAATTTCAAAATATCTCCTAGATTTTAAGGTACATTCTAATTTTTGAAGCTATATGCTTAACTATAAAATCTCAAAATAAAATTTTTAGAATTACTTTTTTTTAATTTTATTTATTACCATTTTAAAAATTATTTTTTAATTTGACTACAGTGAGAGAAAGAAAGGGAAAGTGAGACAGCAAGTCATTAGATCGAGGACCTGAACCATGGTAGGCCATGTGGGAGTACAGTGCCTTAACCACCACACTACGTGTTATCCCCATTACCATTTTTTAAAAATTTGCTATAGGACATATGTTTTGTGGGGCGTGCCGGGGGCGGGGGATGGTGGGGAGAGAAAGCAAGCCACCAGGTCCAGGACTTGAACCACAGTCTTGGCTATGTGGGAGTCAAGTCCCTTAACTACCATGCCACCTGCTAACCACTAGTCCCCCCCCCCCATCAGCTTTTTAATCGCACCTAGGCTGTATGATTTTAGAAGATATGACAGTAGTGGTGCAGAAGCACCAGGGTGGGAGGAATAAGATATTTGTTTTGTTTTTTCATCTAAATTGCCAGAGGGCATGAATTGGCCTCTCAGGAAGAGGGGAAAAGTTCCCACAATTGAGGTGTAATTACGGAGCAATTCCTGTTCTTCATTTCTTCCTTCCGTTGGGAATTTTGCACTGAATTTGTCTGGTTTTTCTTTTCCCTAAGCTCCTGGGGGCAGGATTCAGGCACTGCTTCTTTATCTGGTAGGCTACCAGGCTTGCCTAAGAAATGAGGTTAAAGAGGTGAAGTGGTGGGCCCACAGCCATCTGATTTTTGTCTCACAACTCTCTTAGGATATCCACATTTAGTATAGGTGAGAACAGACTACCCAGCCTGGGAAGTGGGTCTTGTGAGTGACAGGAACTATTTGGATCCAACAGAACTGAGACTCAAAAGAACTTGAGCTGCAAAAGGATCTGGGAAAACCACCAGCTTCAGCTGAGGTCCTGCCATTGCCTGTCATGTGGAAGTGCTCTCATGTGTCTTTGTCATAATGAGAGCATGTTTGTCCCTGGATACACTGTGGGATAGAAGTACTCAAACTTCCTCTCCTAGGAGAGACTATATTCTCAGGGCTACCCAGGTTCCTCTACTTCATAGTGGGT